GACTGATCTCCTACTACAGATAATTTTCAAGCGTGTTTCATCCAGCATCGGCGACGGTGCCTCATTTCCGGTCCGGTAGAGCGGCCAGAACGGTGAACATGAAGTAAAAGTCAGTCGTGTGAGTTCGTACATTTTTCGGGTAATACCAACTCATACCAGAAATGGAGAATAACACCAACCAGCATTAGGATTGATCTACAAATATTTCTCTTTCTCATAGCACTTGATATATGACTTTGTATTGGGGCATTCGCTTGCTACACTTCATTCCTAAAATTGTGAACTTTTCTCGAAACTTCCCGGACAAAGTGATACTTCGCCATCCGATCGCGAAGTCGGATCGCTGGACCGTTTGGGTTGCAGGAGCTGGTCGCGAAGTAGGAACTCGCTCTGAGATGAAGAGCTCATACCACGAGAATCGATTGGCCGCTCCATTCCCAGAGCATGGCTCTATTCAGTTAAGTTTGCGCCCTATTCTGCTCAGCTCGTTCGTTTAGGGTGACATACGATTGTGGGAGAAGCTCATACACTTCTTAGATGAGAACTCGATGCGTCGCGACTTATCAGCGGCATACACGCGAGCCTTACAGGTAACTTATTTTAGCTTTCTTGCCTGAACATTTCCTCATATTCTGAGCACCCGCCATCGCTAACGACCTCCACCAATCAATACCGATTCACTCTCTTGGCGCGCAATCACTAGAAACGTCGAGTCTCTCAAATTTCCTTATCGCTCAATCTCCTCAGTCACCTGTTCGATACCTATGTGGGCAATCCTGACTCGTGGGCAATCCCTTTCAAATTTGCCGGAGTCTCTCATCGCCGATCTCCTCACTCGGCCAAAGTATGGACGCAACTCTTGACAGCATTATGCAACTCTTATGTCGTGTTTATACGTGATGTAAAAAATTGGATGGAAGGCTCTTCACACCGAGTAATGCGCGATCTGGATTATACGTATCGGTCTCGAGATTCCGCGATTCGAGAGAAACCACAGGATCAGGTTCGGACCGAATCGCGTATATCGAGATCGATCTTTATTTATTATTTATTTATTTTGCTTTGTTTTCCATACACTCAAGCGTGTACACACAAAAATATTTAACACAAGTCATAAATAAAGCGCTGAAAAGGGCTAAGTGCGCAAAACTGCAAAATGGGCTTTACGTCAGATAGTCTTTACTGATCAAGTATTTAGTCTTATCTGTATCACCCATTCTTCCAAGTCGTCCATTCCCCCAGTCACGGATTTTCCACGTTCCTTTATACCCGAAGCTGGTCCTGTAAACCTTCTACAGCATGTCTGATACAGCAAGGCTGTGATAGACCGGCTTAAACCACCCGAAAAGACGTAACTGGTTCCAATTCCTGCGGCTGTTGTGTGAATTTTGTCTAGGATAAGCCACACTTAACATAACATTGCATTTCTTCAGCGTTATTACCCCGCATCTTATATTTAAGTTTTCACCCTTCATTCAGCTTCTAATATAGCATTTCGGCCTAATCACTTATTCGGTGGTTCTAGATCACATTGTGACGAATGCAGAAACTTCCTCGGAGAGAATTTCGCCTTGGCAGTTTTCTTTTCTTCTTTTTTTTTTGTTTTTCTGCCCGCAAGCCCTCAGAACGCTCGCAGCGATTTTAACTGCTCTTCGTCCTCGCTACCACAATCATCCATGCTCTACGTTGCTTTCTTCGTCATTCGAAATTAATTTCGTCGATAAGTACGTCTTATTTTCGGATATTTAGAAGAACTTGTGCGCAGTTCGGCTTGGAGGGGGCACCGAAGGGTAGTCAGCCAAACTTGTACAGACCATCTTGTGAAAACCTGTACAATCCTGTGACCGCAATGGCTCACTCGCATCATTTCGCAGCTTCACAAGGGTTGTGACCAAGGCAGACCTGTTATTGAACCTGATTTACCAAAACAAACTAGCAAATGCCCCTCCAAGCCGAACAGCGCCGAAGTTTGCAGTATTATTTGATGTGATTCATGCTTAGGGTCCTCAAACGTCGGAAATTCATAACTGAGAAAAGTGGTAGTCATGGCAAAGAATCGGCTGATGGTGATAGTGAACGTAAGCGATTCCGTAGATTCTCTGATTCACAAATTCCTTAAGTATGCACTTTGTAGGGGTATACGATGAAGAAGTGGATGATAGAATACTGAATTTGGATGTAGCGAAAACAGTAGTGGAACAAGCATTGGCTGCTGTACCCGCCACTGAAGCTTCAGGTTGGTCTGCTTACGTTTTACAAATCCTCGTTTTCCGTAAGTAAAACTTATTCACAAGTCACTATTTTGATCGCTATTTTCGCTTAGCTGGAATTGTCCACATTTGGGCATTCTATTGAGAGACTTATCTATTGAAATTCCTAAAGAGTTTGGTCTATTCGGCTGATTCGCCTCTTCACCAGGGCAGGCCAGTTGGGGATCGCTGAGAGGTCCTTTTTGATCGCTAGAAAGGAGGAGGTCTCATTTGCCTTAGAACAAGCTATTTCGGTTCTGGGATTTTCTCGGGTTTTTCCTCTCGCAAGTGCTCCGCTCAACGGCAGCTTTTGGTGAAAACC